TGGGTGGCTGGTGTGAGTCTGTGCATTTAAAGTGTTTCTTCTCTGAAGCTGCTCTGCACTGCTGTATGTCATGTTAGATGCTCAGAAAATGTGGGAAATGATTACTTAGCTACTTTAGTGCTTTGTTAATGCTCGAGACATGAACAAGTACAGATCCTGCAGGGTACAGCTATGAGTTAAGGCCGCCCCACACTGGACCTCGCATGCGGGTTGCAAGTTTGCGGGTTTTGAGTTTGCGGGCAAAATACTAATTCATAGAGTGATTAGACCGTTCCCTTATGGTAACTTAATGAATGCAGTGAAGCCGGTACACCTTCAGAAAATAACATATAGTCGCAATACCAGCGCAACGAACCAAAATTCGACTCCAACGAAAAACCCGCAAACCTCGCAGAACTCGCAAACCTCGCAGCGAGGAAAATCGAAAGTTGACTCAAAATCAACCTTTGGAATGCGATGCAAGGTGGCTCGCAAGCTAAAAACATGCAGACTCGCTTGTTAGACGGTAGTGTGGGTCACTCAGCTCAGATTGTATTATTTGATTTCGAAGAAACCGAAAACCCAAAAACTCGCAACCCGCATGCGAGGTTCGGTGTGGGGCGGCCTTTAGGTGCTAGGTGAGTATGTTATGTGAATGTGCTGTTCCCTGTTTGACCATAGTAAGTATACAAACAATCACAGGGTCACAGTTATATTCGATCTACACATAAACATACAACAAAAACGGCCATATAGCCTCACTCCGAACACACCACAAATAACTTAAGCCTTTGCAGGCACACAAATGCTTTAATTTACAGGACAGGTATACAATATATCCTCTGTCCTTGGGGATCTTGCTGCCAAGTTGAGGTACGATGACTGAACTTCAGGATTGATCAACCTTTTCTTCTTAGCCAGTGCCACTGCTTACATACGAGAAAGACCAAATGCTTGTTTGTAAACTGCCTTGAAAATTTAATGATCCACCTTCAATTCTGACATGAAGGCACAAATAAAATAGTTCCCTCTCCTTTTTGAATACACAAAGCAAAATATTTAATAACTTTTAGTGGATGGACAAGAGCAATTAGCACAGCTTTCCCTCAAGTTAACTTCTGGCACTGATGAATTACACTGACGCTTATTCGCTTCATATTTTGTAACAAACGCGCTAAAACTGCAATATAACAGCACTATATGCTTCTTGACAAAATGCAATAGTAGTAAAAATTTAGCCCTGATGGCATTCATTCTTGGTGGAAACGTAATAACAAAATATTTTGTAGTTACCATTAAATTCCGGCTGAGAACAGTGCACGGTTTAAAAAAGAATCATTGCAATGACGGTCCATTCTTGCGGTCCTGAAATCGCCACTATTTCCGGCCTCTCCAACGCAACTCGTTGTCCAGACGTAAATATGCTACTTAAAGACACCTTTTCCTAAAAAAACAGATCTATTATATGACCAATATTGTGGCAATAGAAAGACGGGATATGGCCTCACATAAGTAACTTTCATGTTACAAATACCACTCACTGACACTTTCTAACGAGAGAAAATTACACCAACGACGGCAACGCCAAATACCAATAGTATTGCCATTAATTGCATCATTAGACATGCAACGTTTGCCTGCAGACTTTCTCTGATTTCAGGGCGCCACATAAATAATGCTGTCATATCATTCGTCAAGCTACAGAGTGTGAAGTGCGATTGCATCATGTCCAGTGTTCATTGTCAAGTGTCCAGTATCCTGTCCAGTGTCTAGTATCCTGTCCAGTATCCAGTCCACCCACCCGGTTCCGGCGGCTCGGCTGACCTGTTTGTCAAGGAGGACCCTTATCAGCTGAGCCGCTACGAGCTGCCCCGATCAATGGACAGGGGCGACGCCAGCGAGCGACCAGAGGGGGCGCGGAGGGCGGAGGCGGAGGTTACGTATGTATGTGGGAGGCTGTTATGGGTAGTGGAGAATTACAAGGGCGATGAGTGAATGCGTGATGAAAAGTCAGCCGTGGGGATCACAGTTACTGAGCTCGATTCAAAGTGTTAAATGGATATAAAAAAGTATGTTGATGCGAGCTCAGTAGTGTTATACCTATGACTTATTCTTGTGTTACACTACTGGTCTTGAAGTTCCAAAGATGTGTTCATCCTGTGTGTTCATCAGTCTTTGCTTCCTCTGTTGAATTCGTTTCAGTTAAATCAGCCTCCTTTTTTACCGATAAATTTTTACTTCACTACGGTTGTTTTCTCCTTCTTTCCTGAATCCGCCTTCGATTCTTACCAATACCCACCCACCACGGTCACCCCCCCCCCCCCCAAGTTGACTCCCTGTATCCGCCTCTGCGCGCCATGATACCCCGCGGTGGCAGACTTCACCCTGGCCGGCCTCCCCCTCCGCTCTCCTCCCCAGTCAGTCGGTGGTCTCCCCCCTCCCCCCGCGCAGGCGCCGACCCAGCCCATCGACCCGGGTGTGTGATCGTGACCCAAATTCTGCGTCGGTATGCGTGCGACGGGCGACGGTTCTGGCCAGTGGGGGGAGGGGGGGGGGGAGGAAGACACGCCTGCTCCTCCCGCACAGGTGCTGTGACATGACGGGCGAGGCAAAGGGCCGCTGAATAATCACACGAACATAGCACCAGTGGCTCTGAATGCGGTAGTTCAACTATGAACCACTCCGTCCTTACAATTTGGTGACTATGGAGACGATTCAGCACTGTGTTAGCTCCCGTACCTAGATGTAGCCGGCAGTTGTTGTTGGCAATAGCCGTGAAACGTTGGCAGGATGACAAAGTCGCGCACGACGCTGGAACGTCGTCGTCGACACCGGTGGTGGTAGGAAGTCAGTCAGGACAAGGTCGAGTGCGTCGGTGCAGCCTGCAGGCCTGCTCACACCTGCAGCAAATTGACGTGCGACCCTGAGCGCCCGTCTCGGCGGAACCTTGCTCTCAATTTCCAGAGAGCGAGAGCGACAGAGATCAAACAGAAAGGAAAAGCGCCGCGCGGGTGAGGAGTTGCATCACCTGCTGCGCTTGCCCTCGACCCGGTTACCGAATTCTCAGGTGGTCCCAGCTCACACTGCGTGGCAGTGAACATTTGGCACGCGCTGTTCGCACTTCCTGTGCAGTGCGGATAGAAGGGGTGGGGTGGAGACAGACAGACGAATCGTAAGGTGGATTGCTCAGAATTCTGCAGATTCACGGAGTTTGCTGCCGCTTATAGGTGGTAGGTAAGCCTGTCATGTTTAGAGAATGCGGTGTTTGGAAAACCACTTATGCATAACGTGCATTTTGTAGTTTGAGAATGACGTTCATAGCTAGACTTCACTTGAAATATTTGAATAACATGCGAAAGACAAATAACGCGATATTGAGTGTTGTTTTGTGCAGCATTTCAAAGTATCTCTTTGAAATCAATTCCATGTGAAACGGACGAAAAACGCTACCTATAACGAAAAAAAAAAACGTCGGACAAGTTTTCTCATAACCTCACAAATGCACATGACAGCATGTATGAAAAGTGCGAGATTCAGCTATGAACCTGAATGATAAGCACACGCACTCTTTTATCATTTTCTGTGAAAACAACTATTTCGCTACATGATTCAAATCGTATTCTCTCAAAGCGAAGTAGACTTGGTATTCTATTTTTCTCATTCGGTATTCTACGCAATTTGATGTAAGCAGGTCACTTGAAGGGAATGTTTTTGTCTTGACATGACATTACAGCAAGCCACAAATTGACCATAATCGAAAAGTCATCCATTTTACGTGAATCATATTCCGTCTTTCGCTTAGATTCCTATCGCGCTGCAGTGTAGGCCCGACTCCGGCCAGCCGCCTGGCAGGGTAGACTGTGCCGCCGAGCTCTGCTGTCGTGCGGGACAGCCTACACAACAGGCGCTGACGGAGCGGAGAGGCGGGCGTCAGGCCGTCTGAACGGCCGGGGGATGGGGGGAGCGGGGGGGGGGGGCTGTAGCCACTTGCCGGGAGGGCAGGGGAAGCAGAGGGAGGGAGGGGGAAGAGTGGAGGGGAGAGGAGGGGATCCCAGACCTACAGACTGCAACAGCGGGGTGCGACCAAGATGGATGGTGAAATGGTTTTGACGAAAAAAGAACGGATGAAGATGTGTGAAAGCCGTTTTATCATATTCGTGTTGCAGCGTTGACATAAGGACATTAAATTCAACACAAAGGCCATAGTGGGGAGGAGGACATCGAACCTTGCCTTTTTGTTAAAAAGTCATGTAGGACAGTTTTTAAAACTTATAGACATTAGACCTATAAGCTTTTGGTGAACAATATTTTGAAGAAAATGCGAATTAACCCGCGCGGCGTATTTTGAATTCACCATAGGGCTCAGCCATTCCTAGAGGAATTCTAGGCACCTTGGAAAAAAGCGAAATCGCGCTAGGGATTTCAGCCGATCTGGCAGCTCTTCCGATGCCACTGGCGCGCCTTTTAATCCAAAGCGCCTTTTTCGTGTCTCATGTTTGCTCGTTTATTGCGGAGGCCTAATATACAGGGTGTCCCAAAAGTAAGGTCATCATTTGTTTTGGCCACACCGCCAAAAATACGCGATGGATAGAAATAAATAAGACATCATATGAAAGAGCATTTTATAAAATTTTATTCTGATATACATATGAGTCAATACATTGGCTCGTAGCCCCACATTTGCTGCTTTTCTGCATGGCTACCATTTCGGGCCGCGTGCACGAATAGACTGCGTTTTACTTCCTCCACTATTCTGGAGCGATTCTCTGGTGAGATGCCGCTTATGTTTGCTCGGAGGGATCATCCTTTAGTTCTTCCCGGCTCGTTGGGTTGTCCTAAAAGACAACCTTTCCGTTGTGTACCCAGAGAATAAAAATATGAAGGTGTAACGTCAGGTGACCGCGGAGGCCATTCAATGGCGTTGCCCTGACTGAAAATTACGCGATCTCACATCCACTCTCGGAGACAATGCATGATCTTCAGGACGGTGCAAGCATGGCCTCCATCCTGCTGAAACCACTGCTGGTTGATGGTGTCGGCACAGCTGCGTTGCGACGAGCGGAAGAACCATTGGGAGGACTCTCGGCCACCTCTCTTGATTTATTTTCACCCGATTCCCGCTGTCGTCCTCAGGACCTCGAAGCACAGGTGGCTAAGTATACATGCCCTGTGCGTACATTATACCTTTTTTCTGACGTTTTACCGGTTGAGGCGAAACTATGCATGAGTTCAGAGATAGGGCGAGCTGATAGGGTCTGCTTAGGGCTGAAAACTGGGCGGTATTTACCCTTTGTTTTATTGACGGACCCTCTCTTAGAGTTGAATTTCGACCTTCTCAGTTTTATGCCTACTGCTCGGTGTAGTTATGATCAAAAATGGTTTAAGCATGTAAGAAAATAATTTTATGGATGTACCTTGCACGTGTTAAAATTGGAAGTGATTCGGACTCTTACTTCTCGAGATATTTAAGTTTTAAATCATGACCTTACTTTTGGGACACCCTGTATAGTGTCTATATATGCTTCAAGATGCTGGAAAAGGTTGGTGATTAATAAGTATTTCCATTTTAGGTGCATGTTCTTTGCAAGAAATACAGTTGTTGTTGCTGTTGTTGTGGGTTAGGGCGCAAGAAATACAGGTATATGTCAAGTTTAGGTCCTAACTATAACTGTGACGCTGTTGATACAAATCTGTAACAGCAAAAAAATTATGTTTTAGGTTACGTTAGGTTGTAAGTTATAGGTTGCATTGTAGGTTTGTAGGTAGTAGATTGGTAGGTTATAGGTGAAAAGGTAAGGTTAGTTCAGGTTTGATTATGTTTTTCTTTTAGTTACGAGACATATAAGTATCATTTTTGGATTCAGGATGTCAAATAATGGTCGGAAACACTAAATTCAAAATGAACTAATTTTGAAGCGGGGACCTCCATGTGTACCGGCCAAATAATGTAAGAATATGAAAAAATTATCCATGAAATCTGCTTAGGACTTAAACTTGACATTTACCCACATGGCTATAGGTATCACCAGCAGAATTATAATCTTTACATAATTTCTAAAAATGCTGTAAGTGAAGATTATGAGTCGTGTAACCATTGTTACTATATTGATATTAAATATTGAATAGGTACAAGTCCGCCACCAACTTTATGGAACATTCCTTCTTCCAACAGGATCACTTCCAAGTAATCTGGAAGGCTGATGCCAAGTACATCTTGTGCGAGAAGCTTGATATGATTCCTGACCTGGAACCGGTGAGCATCAAATATAGCAATTTGCTTAAAGCAATAGCAATTGCTGATGATGGCAATTTCAATTTGCAGTAACACATATTATATGTAATTGGTTTGAGCCATGTTGCAATCATTTCATAAATGAAAACTTTCATTTTTAAAATGGAACTATCAACTTTCCCCACAGGCTTCGGTAACAAAGTTTTATCAATTGTGAATGACAATATTATTGGTATGAGTGGTGTGTGCGGTGATCTGTATTTGAATATAACGCGTCTTGTCACTAAGTATTTGTCATCTGCATTATAGCTGACTATTACGGTAATACGATCGTGCATTGGTCCCAGACAAGAATACCCCAGTGAAACCTTGCATTATTTCGTTTCAGGAGTTGATGGAGGGCACCACTGTGGCCTACCGATGTCCGGCGTCAAAGGAATCGGCCCTGCAGTGGATTCAGCTGTACCAAGAGGCCGCCAACATCACCCTGACGACGTACGACTCCATGTCGAATGGCCAAAGGGTGGTGTACTGGGTGAGAGCTTTAGTTTATGAAATACCAGTTTGGGCTCGCCGTGTAAAGCTCGGCAGGGGGGTACTTTTGCCCGAGCACTCGACCTGGGCCCGCCAATGGAAAATTCTGCTGGTGCAGAGCCTCCTGAGGGTTCAGCAAAGACCCGCCGTATGAAAGCCTGTCGGGGTCTACTGACAGAGGGCCCGGCGGCCTGGGCTCGCTGCATGAATCCCCAGCTTGATGCCGCGTACTGAGGACCAGTCATCCCGCCGTCATACCGGGTGTCTCGAAGGACTGGACGGACACCTACCAGCGGGCCCGCTAGATTTCGGGAGGGTCAGCTGACCCCTTTGTCCCCCTGACCCCTCCCTGGGTGCGCCACTGCACCCAGTAACTTTTACTCTTTTATATCGCAGGAAGGTGCGGGTTAATGAAACACCATGATCAGGGTCAGTTAAAAAGGTAACGTTTTTAAATCGAGAAGCTTTCATCCTCATTTAAATGACGGACTAATGAGTGGCAATTGATTTCATCACTTTTGTTAATGTTGTCAATTTTTTTTCAGGCCAGGCTTCGTTGTCACCACGACGTCCCAGAAAAGCCGAGTCGTCCGAGGAAAAGCCAATCCGCCAAGGACACCGGGTGCCCCCTGCGCCTGAAAGTGACTGTCGCCAACATTCCAAAACGGCAAGTTTCTCACCGTCTTTTGTCATTGGCACCTTTTACCAGGGCTGCGGAGTCGACCCAACTTTAGCCAACTCCGACTCCGACTCCGGCCTCACAAAATCGACTCTGACTCCGACTCCGACCTATTAGTTCTGGAAAGCATTTATTTGGCCCTTTGGTTCACCGAACCAGTGCAGAGACGTGAACTTCGGGAGAAAAGAAAAGGCTGATCAAAATCGTAGGTCGATTTTGTTGTCTGACCACTTTGGATCATCGGGATAATTGCCATTTTGCTTTCACCAGACAACAATTTCACTTGATGAAAGGCGATTTTCGGACTACATGGCCGGAGTCGGTAAAATCTTATCGACTCTGGCCAAGAAAAAAGATCGACTCCGACTCCGACCAAAACTGTTGACTCCGACCGACTCCGACTCCGACTCCGCAGCCCTGCTTTTTACAAACGCCTTAGTTGATCAAACGATCAACCGCAATTGAAAAAAACTACATATTTGATGAAGGAGTTCGCTGCCGAAAACATTTCAAGTCGCTATCTTTCTTAGTTGTGCCAATCTTGGCTCAGAAAACTAAAAACGGTGATAATCCGAAACATTTCACCTCGCTCGTTCCTTGCCTCAAAAGGTTTCTTGCTGGTACCTTATAAAAGTGCGTGGAAGGAGCGGAATTTCTTCTGAATAACACCATCGTCTCGTGTTTTTTTATATTTGTTGACGAATCCTCCCTTTCCAGGAATAGGTCTACAGACCCATGCGCGGCTTACGAGCTACGGGTGACATGTAACAAGAAGCCCCACAACCACGCCGTGGACAACGCTGCCGCTCTGAGACATCGACGCGTCTCTGAGCTGACGAAGGCCCGGCTGATGGAGCTGTTCCAGCACCACCACTCGCCCTCCACGGCGCTGGAGACCCTGAAACTACAGCTTCAGGAGGAGCATGGGAGCGCCTACCCGTCGGTGGCCGCAGACCGAGCCATTGTCCCAGATAGGATGGCCGTCTACTAGTAAGTTTTTAACAGCTTGATGCAAAGCCACACTGCCACAAGTTAGCAAGTCTGTAGGGACAGTATCTGAAATAATTAGACTTTCCCTATAAAGTTACACATGATTCTCACATATGAGATGCAATTGATCGTTACACGGAGCAGAGATGATAGGGCTACTCAGAAAAGAAGGCCGCATGTCTGGGATATGTGGTTGCGATCCGAGACTGATCTGGCCATTGACAATTTTTGGGTCCCCTATTGCAATCTGCCTGTTTTCGTGTCACATCCAGTTCTACTGTTATCTATGAATTGTGTTGTGCTAAAAACTCGCAACATTTTACGCTGCGATAAATGCACTCTGGTTTAGTAAAAGCTATCGATAATCATATTACGTACGCCTATGTGTCAGGGTCATTTCCGTTTTCCTGCTATTCGTGAAAAACCTGAAGGGGAATGGCGTCTAGACGCCCCCCTTCCGGCCCAGCGCAGGTTAACATTATTTTCACCTTGGATTTGTGTAATTCAATGCGCTGAGGGGTAAGCTATATTTTGATTAGGACGAATCAGGAACAAGTGGGACAGCTGAAGCTTAACCATAAGTACACTGTTATGCAATCGGTATTTTATCACAAAATGAAACTGACCACCACTTGCAGCTGGAAGTCAATTGACAATGCAATGTGTTTTCAGCCTGTACTACAAGCACTGTCGGGAGCGTTACCCAGCCTCGACCCCAGGAGGGCGTGCGACGTGGCCAACGGCCGGCAGCGGGCGGCACCGGTCCGCGGCGGCACCAGCCAAGAAACGGGCACTGTGACGCAGGTATTTTGCATGACACGAGAACTGATTAAGGTCACATAAGACAGCTCGTTTTCCAATGCTGGTCCCACCCGTACTGCCACATGGCTGTGCAAAGTGACCAATGCAATCGGCGCGCCCCTAAGCACCAATAAACCACATGGCTGTGCATTCACACACAAGAGTCTGTCACTGTACCGCTGTGCCACTGTAGGGCCGCGTGGTGTTGGCGCTGTGTGCCACATCTCGTGACTCGTTTCGCGTTTTTTCTTGTTTCTTCTTTTTTCCCTTTGGGGGTCTGTTTTAAAAGGCCAAGCTGACAGTACTGGGGCGAATGAACAGGTTCGGATTTTCGTACAGGTAACCGTCCGTCAGTTTATGTTGTACAGTCTGTCTTAAAAGTCCGCGAAAAAGCAACGGTGGATCCATCAAGCCTGACCGAGGAAGGGCCTGCTCAATTTGAGTCATCAAAGCAATTGATATTCTCGTCCATTCCCCAGGTCAATTGGTTCGGTGACTTTCAAAGTAAAGCAGGCCTTTCTTCAGTAAGGCTTGATGGATCCACCGTCACTTTGCGCGGTACTTTTAAGACAGACTGTACATACGAATTTTACAGGATTTTATGTGTTGCCCCTCCCACAGGTGACGGAGTTCACCTATCAGGTGAAGTCGCTGACGTCGGTCGGCATCACCTACCTGGTGGACCTGAACGTCGGCGCCTGCACCTGCAGGATGAACCGGCGGACTGGCGGCTGCAAACACCTCCGAGCCGTGCGGCAGCAGACTGGCGCTGTGCCGGAGGCGACGGCGACAAAGGAGACGCGGAGGGCCTTGATGGACATCGCCATGGGGACCAGCCAGCAGCTGCCAGGCAACTGGTTCGACCCTCTGGTCGCCGAGCCGTCCACCTCGTCACCTCCTGGCCCCACGCCCGCCAGCGCCCCCGGAGTCGCGCAGCCCCAGCCGTCGCCTGGTCCCGAGGAGTACGACGACGACGCAATGGACTTCGAGGACCCCGCCGCTGCGGCGGCGGCTGTCAGTGGAGCTGAGCAGCGACGCTCAGATGACCGGACACGCCAAACCGTGGCGTTCATCCAGGAGTGGGCAGCCTTCATGTGCGAGGCAGTCGTCCAGGACGACACCTGGGAGAGGGCTGCCGCTGCCTTCCAGCAGAGGTGGGGCCAGCTGCCCACTGCTGGCCGCCAGTCCGCTCTGCACCAGTTTGGGGGTGCGCAGGGCTGCCGGCGGAACGCCACCCAGATTCCGGTCCAGCCGACCAGCACTGCCCGTCGCACCAGCACCAACGTGCGGGGTCGCGCTCGCTGGCCCGCTGGACGGCCGTGCCGCTCCGCGCGCACCGGGGAGCACGGCTACGTGGCAGCCTCCGCCAGGCGGTCGGCGGCGCCCCACAGCCTGGCCACCTGTGTTGACCAGAACCGCCCCCTGGGGCGCTGAGTGGTAGAGGTGAAGTGGGGGGAGACCGGGGCAAGTTGGTGCCAGGGGGGGGGGGGGGGTAAGTTGGGACGGAAGGGATATTTCCAATACTTCTCGACAGTTGGCGTTCAAACTTATTTTGTACATGCACAGTAATGCCGTCTGTTTGTCAACGTGGTGTCGGCGCGTGCTGAGGTAAGTGCTGTTAATAATCGCTACAAATGTGTTTCAGGTACCAAAAGTGATTTTTTTGCTGTGAAAATATCCTCTTCTAGTGTCGTTGTGTGTGCCTTTTTGTTTGCCGCAGGAGTACTGCAAACGTTTGTGTTTTGTCGTTAATGCCCGCATGGATTAGCGATGATTGTTCATGTGAAACATGAATAAAAATGTGTTTAGATAAACTGTTTTTCCTAGTGTACCAACTTGCCTTAGGCCCTGGCCCAACTGACCCCCCGCCGCGGGGTAAGTTGGGACATTGGAGGATGGCCGCTTTGATCAGATATGACACCAAGACGATGCTACCATCTCTCTTATATTAAGTCTTCTTTAAAAGATAAAGAAATCAGATCTCAGTTAATAGCCAACAAATAATGATGTATAGTTATACCGAAGTTATGACGCTTCAAGCAATAACTGGCTCAACTAGCGTTAGCGGAATGACGCAAAATTAGCAGGTGACCAGTGACCACTCCCAGTTCGCTAATATGTTTGCATCATTAACATACCTTCCACTATAAGCACGGTTTCTCAATCTTAACATAAAATATAACATCTTTTCATGTAATTTGCATCTCTAATATACCCCAGTCAAACTTGCATCACTAATGTAGTGGGGGACTTCTTGGGACGAATTAGTTTCTAGGGACTTACACATTTATGCTCATTTCCCCACATTTGTCGCCAGGGGGAGAATTCCCCAGAATTTTCCGCTAGGAGTGGCTGAGCCCTATGGTGAATTCAAAATACGCACCCGCGCGGGGCTGGGGGGGGGTAAATTTTACCCCCCCTCGCGAATTTTTGCAATATCTCAAAAACAGCGGCGCGCAGCGCCGCCAAACTTTCAGTACCTTTTCTTACATCAATTTGACACGTTCCCTGAAAATTTGAGCGAAATCCGTCGGAAAATTTTTGAGAAATTGACGTTTTAGTGACGTCATGTTCGCCATTTTCGCCTCAAAAACGGCAAAAGTTCAAACGCCGCTAACATCTTCATTTTTAAAGGAATCAAGACGTAACAAAAAAGGATATACGTAATTCTACTTTGTCTATCAAATGGCTATCTCGGTTTTTTGAAGATTTTGGATTTTGGCCCAAATTTTTTCAAAAAACTGACTTTTTTGGGAAAATAATTATAAAATCCAAAATTATGAGTGTATCGAAAAAACCGGAATATATGTCAGAGAAGTGGTCTATGTGCACCTACATACCAAGTTTTAGAAGAATCGGTTCAAAAATGTGGGAGTTATTCAAAATTGTATGACGTCACGACACACAAAAATTTTGAAAAATGACTTTTTTGGAAGTTCTAGACCTCGTACGGAAACAAAAATAGCACCATTCGATTCGCCGTGAAAAACTGCATCAGATAGACACCTTTTTAGGCCTTAACAACCGACTTCAAAATTTGACCTCACTTGACCTGACCTTGACCTGACCTCGACCTGAAATTCATCCAGAGGTGGTCCATATCACTTATTGAGTGTGCCTATTGAATTCTATGAGTAAAATGACCCATAAAACATGTGTCGCACATGCCCTTTTCTATATTTTGTTTTTGGTGACCTGACCTGACCTGACCTGACCTTGACCTTGACCTCTGAATGATATTGTATGCAACGAATATTGTCTTGGTAGCCTAAGAACACGTTTTGGGCGATCAGTCTCAGTCCATGACTCCATTCTTCGGCAACTACGGTGCAAGGCCGATACTGTAGGAACTTGCAATTTGTACCCTTGACCTGACCTTGACCTTGACCTCAAACTTAAAATCAAGTACATGTTTTTAGTTGTTCGTGATGAGATCTTTCGATTGGCGTTTGAATTTTTTTAAATCGGACCATTAGTTCGGGAGATAACAGGGGGGGTAAAATTTACCCCCCCCCCCCCCCAGCCCCGCGCGTTCGGCTGGAGACCCCAGCCCCGCGCGGGTTAATCAAATTTATATCACTCTCTACCCCGAGCCTTACATCTGTGGGGTACGTTCATTGCAGCCGTGCAGCGCAATTCATACTTTACTTATACTATATTGTGCATTGCTTATCATGCCTGTGGCCAATATCGCTGCGCCGGCACCATGTCGATGGTCGCGACATCTATCTTACTGAAAGGTGTCTACGCCAGCGCCGTCTGGTGAGAAGCTATAGGATGGGAAGGAGCGACCAGTATTCAGTGATCACCCGGCCATCAGAGCTTGCGTGCATTAGATACCAGCATCTGCGATGCCGGGCTCCGCATCGCGGGACCGCAGGTTGTTTGAGCAAGCACCTCTGTACCGCCCGCCGCAAAACGCAAAACCGCAAAACTCGCAAAACGCACGCTCAAAACGCAACGCAAAAGCCGCAAAAAAAACAAAAAACAATCGCCCGCAGGCACAAAACCGCAGAAAAAAACGCAAAAAAGCCGCAAAAACGCCCGTCCGCCGCAAAACGCAAACACCGCAAAAACACGCAAATACCACCGCCACAAAAAATCGCCCGCATCGCCCGCCGCCAAAGGCAAAACGCAACAAAACGCGGCCGCCCGCCTAAAACCGCAACACCGCAAATAACGCCCGGCCGCCGGCGACCGCAAAACCCCGCAAAAAACGGCCGCCCGCCGCAAACTACAAAACGCCGCAAAAAACGGCCGCCCGCCGCAAACCGCCGCTAAAACGGCCGCCCGCCGCCAAACGCAAACACCGCAAGACACCCGCATCGCCCGCCCGCCCGCCGCCAAGCACAAAAAAACGCAAAAAACGCAAACACCGCCGCAAAAAACGCCCGCAATGCACGCCCGCCCGCCGCCAACCGCAAAACGCCGCAAAAAAACGGCCGCCCGCCGCGAAACACAAACACCACAAAAAACGCAAAATCGGCCGCCCGCCGCCAAACGCAAACAGCGAAAAAACGCAAACACTGCCGCAAAAAACGCACGCCGTCCGTTAAACGTAAACACTGACGAATTAAGACAAATATGGCGCCTTGCGGCAAGTGTGGTGTATTCATATCTGCCGTTTAAGCAGCCATCCCTCAATCAAAGCGCATCCTAATCGTCCCATGTTCGATAAAGTTACGCACATTCTGTGATTTGCGGCAAAAATGGCGCTTTGAGACAAACGTGGCGCACTGCGACAAACGTGGCGCATTCGTTCCTGTCGCTTAACAATTTTATCCACCCACCAAAGTCTAGCCCAATTGGACTTAAACTGACAAAGTTATGTACATTTGAATATTTCACTATAAAATATCTCCGCAACGGAGGTGCCCAAATTTGCACGGTAGTGTAAGCAGGACTTGTCCCCTCACTGATTGCACCATTTCAGTGTTCCTGGCTTGTGCTGTTTTCGTGCTATAAGGCCACAAATCGGCAAACACACGATAATCTGGGAGGTACGCGACTCAAACACGTGGCCACGTGGCACGTGCCGGACCTCTGATAGCTTCACCGTTCACGCCACGTGATGACCCATCGACGTGGCCATCAGCATGTAAAAGATGACCCCAGCCGGTGTCACCGTCTCTGAACAGTGGACGGCTAAACTCGAAAAACGGAAAAATTTAGGGAAATTTCACCTTTCGAATATATAATTTCCCCAGAATTTTAAATTTGTCATTTTACAAAAAATCCGAGATAGCAGTTTTTTAGCCCCTTACATTCTGTGCCTAAACCCATTTTCAGATCGACCCTATCATAAAAACTGACGGCCTGACGGCTATTTCCCCCACTCCTTGCATTTCACAATGCTAGTATATTTAAGCACCAAAATTGACCCCGTGCCACGGCACGTGCAATAGCACGTGCGACACGTGACCACTAGTGCGACAAGCTGGATTCATCTCCTCACCGGCTGCACTGATTTGGTGTCGCTAGTTGAAGTCGTTTCCACGCCATAGGACCCCCAGTTGGCCAATGTCGGATTTTCCCGGAGGTTACCCCATGGAACACGTTTGCACGTGGCACGTGCTTTTCAATCGCCCCATATCTGACCCATACCATGTGGTAGCCGACACCCTGGGGCACAACATATTGGAACATTTTCAAAATCTAACGTGGAAATTTTTGACAAAATCGATTTGAAAATAATTTTTCGAAATCGCCATAGGCTCAACATGGGGTAACTGTTTGTGACGATTACCCGAAATTTTGTCAATTATATTTTAAGTAATTACCACCGTCAGTTGGGGTGCCAGCCCGAGATCCGACCCTAAAAATATCAGCAAATATAATTGACGAAATTTTTCGCAAATCGCATTTTAATTTTTTCCCATGTTAACCCTATGGGAAAATGCACGTGCCGATTACCCCAAAACGGGTCATTATATTTCATAACGAAGCATAACAACATGTTCTATGGTCGTTTCTCAACAGGTCCTGAAAGTTTAAACAAAATCGTATCATATAATTTTGTGCAATGAACGAATGAAAATGTCTCTGCAAAAACGTCCATAGACTTAACATGGGGAGCGCAAAAAGTTCAACTTCAAAGTCGTACTACAAAAAATATCGACTTTTTACGGGTATACGGTACACAGGGGCGTGTACCTGAACGTGTCGGCCATAAAATGGTGTGCAGCAAACCATACCTTGACCTGCGATTTTTTCCGCTATTCGCGATCGCGCAAAAAGTGTCCAAAACCCCATTGACTTAACATGGGCGAAAATTGAAACGCACGTGCCACGTGCCACGAGGTTTTAAGCGAGTAGCGACCGGTGCCAACAGGTAGATCGCCTGCGGGAGCCCATACACTGAAATTTTTACGAAAATCGAGCCACAAGTTTAGGCCCCAATCAAGTTGCCCCAATTCGCGGCCAGCCATGCTAAACATAGCCCGGAGAAGGACCGCTCCGGTTGTTTTTCAATAGAAAAACACAATTCTAACGAATAGTGTTTGTCAATGAAGAAACAACCTGCGGTTACAGTATGCGATATCGTTTTCTCTATATTTTTTTTTCGGAGCTTCACCTCAATTGAGCGGACTTACGAAGAGTTTTGAATTATGTGTACTACCTCCGTTCAAATCCTTATCCTCCACACCTCAACTCCCTGTTCCGGGCTGGACGGGTAACTTTATCTCATGCGGGATGGCCCGTAAGAAGCACGTCCGTAGCCGGGTGTGGTGACTCAGACTGGTGAGTGCTTGGGGGGGGGGGGGGGCTGGTCGTGAACGGGCTCATGCCCGGTGACTCACCAGGGTGCCTGCCC